ATAGAAAGAACTGATTATATTCAGATTAACAAATTGAAAAAAAACTTACAGCTATTAACTGATTCCACTCTACAATACAATTAACGTCATAACATACTGACTGATTCATCTGTTGATGTTGCTTTCCCAATATGATAGGTGTTAAGAATTGTTTGATAATATTATCAACTTCTTTAAAAAATCTGTTATTCAATGATAGTAGTCCAACTCTTGGTAATACATTACGTTCAATTTCAGATTTTTCAAACTGTTCTTTATTTTTGACACAACTATCAATAGTTGCAAGCAAATTATACAAAGAAGTAGCCTGATCAACCTTATTATGAATCAACTTATTAATCGACTCTATCCTTTGTGTACTTTGAACATTAGCTGTAAATTGATTTCGCACCTACAGCAAACCCCAAGATTCTTTATTAGTATAAAGTGTTTCTAACATATATTTAGCTGATTCAGGGTATTCAGAAATCAAGTAAGTCCACTGAGCTTTAAATAACTTGTTACATAAAGAATTACGACAAGCATAAAATTTTTGTTGAAATTCTTCAAAGCGGGATCCCAATTTACTTTTAAGTTTCTTATGAAGGTTCATATCAACATAAAAAATGCATAATAAATGACTTGTATTAGGATAAATTTCATTAATTGCACTGATGATGGCTGGGTCAGAATCAGTAAATATAACTTCAGGATTAATATTTGTTTTATTAAAAATTGTTGAAAAATTCATTGAAAGGAATTGAGGGTTTCGTCATCTATAATAGCTGATGCAATAATTCATGACTTGAAATGATTGTCAATAACAATAATTACACAAAGTATCATACAGAAGCAATTGGTATTTAATGTTGTGTCTAAAATTACAATATCATGAAAATTTTTATACAAGTTATGTTGTGACAGTAACATTCACAATAACCTACTTAGCCTTCTAAATAAAGGTTCTAAGTATGGTTTGACTACCCACAAAGGATCTGATTCTTTAAAATTTAATAATGTTTGAAGCATCTGAGATATGTCCAAATCACCTGGATTATTTGTAAGCCGAAACTTATATACAGCATTATATAGATCCTTTTTATAAATATGATGGTTGGG